GATGTTGATTGGTGTTGCAGGTGAATCTGCCTTCAAATCATTATCACTTTGGGAGCTTGAATCATTAATAATAGGGGCTGACATTACACTATCGGGTGTTCCAGCTGGTTCTCCTACCAAATCAGAATTCCCTTGAGCTGGTGTTGATGGTCTACTTTTAGGTGCTGTAATCTTGCAGTTATAGCAAAGCCAGGTTGTTCTTGCATTGCTTGGATAACGTTTGTAAGACATGCAGGACAGATGAAAAAATTTACCATTTGAGCACTGTTCATTATGACATTTCAGCAGTTTATCATTTGTCTGTGCTTTTTTTTGACATGTGCAGATAGTTGCAAGTTTTGTTGCCTCACTTAGGAATTGATCCTTCATTTCAGGCAATTTCTTGCTTTTTGCCCTGGTAAATTGGGGCAACTTTCTACAATGAGGGTAGTACCACATTTTTGGAACTGTTACATTCTTGATACCCAAACAGGATGGATGAAATTTGGATATTTTGCATGTGTGGTTGGCACATGTTATTGGTGCTTCACTAGTTGTTTCCCTGCAGTAACAGTCACCAGGTTTTGTGACTTCTTCTGGGGAAAGCTGGGCTTTTAAATCCATCTTTCGGGTATACCATCTTCCCAATATTTCTGGTAATATGCAAATTCTCCAGAAAGTCTCTAGTTTGGGAATTTGTGTTTCCCAGTGTTTCATGTCTGGAGCAAGCCTTTCCAAGAAAAATTTCGTTTTTTGCCCATCTGAGGCGCACACAATAAAATCTAAATATCCTCTCCCACTTGTATGGATTTGTTGTTGTGCTTGGTAATAATAGTCATGATCTCTTTTGAGTTGGAAACAAGATTCATTTTTCTGCAAACAGGAAGATTTCTTTTGCACATAACTGTCAAAGTCAACTCCATCAATGCAGTAGGGGCACTTGACTTCCCCACATCCCTGTCCACAGCAATCACATTCACAGAGAAAATCTGGAGTGGCATGTAAAAATTGGTACTTCTTGTTTATAATTGTTCCACATTTAGTTATAACAAAGTTAGCATGAGTTTTTCGCATTGTTTTTTCATACTCTGCGATGGCAATATCCTCATGTTTGCATCCATATCTTGTGGCTGCTGTGGAAAAGCGAAAAATATCTGGATAACAAATAGCTTTGACCAGAGACTGGGAGGGCTGTGAAGGATCTGTATGACTGGCTGCACGGCATTTGGAAGCCCCTACTCTTCCAGCCCTGTGTCTAAAAAAAGCACTCCCTTTGGCCTGATCCACGGTTTCCCTTTCGATTGACTTAATATCTTCATCAGATAGGTTCAATTGTACTTTATTACACTCCTTTAGAAGATCAGTATATGAAAGATCTAGATACTTGGGATCAAACAAGTCTGTCACCGCCTTAATGTTTCTAGTACTTGAAATAAATGAATCAGCAAATGGGTGAATTAAACTTAAACATACTGGTTTAATTTTGCATTCACTCAAAGAGTGATAAAAAGCATACATTTCTTCAGCAGAAGGTTCTAGAGATGATGACATTTTCACTTCTTGACGTTTAGGTGTGGAGGTGTGAGATGGTGGACTTGAATCAACAACAGGGAAAGCAACCGTTTCAATGGACTTATCGAGGTCGGCTTTTAGTTTCTTTGCAGAAGAAAAATTAATTTCTTTTATCCTCGCGTAGTCCACTTGCTTAACTGTGGTAGGCAACAGCCACGTACATTTTACTTGGGTGCAGGCAAGCTTCCCATTTAATCTCGTCCACACTTCAATATAAAAAAGTACACTTGCGATATGAGAACAGCATTCTCCCAGCCCGGCCATACACCCAGCACAGTGAGCTGAAAGAACAGTTCCTTCTTTGGTTGATATTATCCACAATGGCACGTGCGGATCATTCATACGTTGGGAATGTCTCACTTTTGCGAGAACCACGTATTTATCTCGCAATGTTTGTCCAAGAACACTTGTAATAAAGCCGGACACCATATGGTTGTACGCAAGGAGACTTTTGAAATTTTTAAACTGCTCCTTTGTATAAAAACTCGTATCGAGCACTAGATATGACAGAAGATCGCACGACTCGACTGGAGGAAGACATTCCGGAGTACAGTTTTCTTGCGGAATAAGGAAAGGGTCGATACCAATGGCCGCTATTTTCTCCACATATCTTCTCCTTATGTTGCCCTGTAATGACTCGCCATAGGCAGACAGAATAAACTTGGAATTTGTCTCGCTCTCAGAAGGACACGCTTCAGTTGCCGCCATTATAAATAGAACATTACTCCTCCAAGATGGCGGCGCCTCGTTTTCGGAATTTTTGTGACGTCACGCGAACATACACTATTGGAAACCAACGTAGATCTCTTAGTGCGGGGGTTATATGATCAAATTTCCTGGTACCTGTAATAATGCGCGCGGCAAAGTTATTTCTTGTGGAAAAGATGTGTTGTTTTTCAACTGATGACAAATAATTTCTATTTACTTTTGTCAGTTCTTTGAAAACTGAAGAAGTATGCGCATGTTGCTATTCCTGCCGTATGATCGATCTGACCGAACATTTTATAATCAAACAGGTCATTTCTCAAAACATCAAAAGTTATTGCTTCAAGATGTTAGCTTAGGTAAATCCCTTAATAGGCAAGGATCAGTAAACCAGAAGGAAAATATAGCTCTAAGTCCTCCGCTTAATCGAGAAACTGCAAGCTTACCTTTCAATCATGTCCTTTGCGTTTTATCGGCTATAAACACTTTCCCGAATATTACTTTAAATTTGTAAGATTTTATGTAATTAATCACCAGAAGATAGATTTAAAGCGTTGGAGTACATACAGATGTCCCATTTATTGAGAGTCCGAGACTTTTAGTTGTTGAACAAACAAGAAAAAAACTGTCACAAGATTGCTTGGATGGATTGCTAGGAGCGGAGCTTCACAAGTTGTGGACCGCAATGGAAACGCTTCCATCGTGGAAAAAACCGTAAAACAATACTTCTTACTATTTTCATTATCAGCCTTGAATCTTGAGCTCGCCATACTACTCTATGTGCGCTGGAAGTAATCTTTAATACCTTGGAGATTGCTCTTCTCCAAACAATTTTGTTAAATTTTGAGATGAAGAAGCTCCAGTTGAATGAAATAGTATAATTTGTTTTCCTTAGAGTCCCTGAAATTTCGTGGGTTGTTGTTTTCTCTCAGTGTTAGCCATTGTGGATATCCCAGAGTACTCTGTGTTGAATGAAACAATAGTGAAACTGACCAGGGAGGGGATGGGAAAATTTGTAAATAATCCCTGAAGTGATTAAGTTAAGGTTGAAACCAACCAATATAACTTCTAAGAACACGTGGTAACCCCTACTTTTTATCATACCAAATGAAAGTAATAAGCCCACTCAGGAAACGATCAGTTTTTGGTTCGGGGAAAATGTCATTTATGCTATTTTTAAGGCAAACGCGTGGAGAGGGGTAACTGCTGATAACTGCCCAGTTGTGCTGATATTTCAAAAAAAGATGTATAAGGAACAGTCATTATGTTATCATTTGTTGCTTATTTTGAAACCTTGTTACACTTATCATAATTGCATTTGTGCCAGTTCACGTATACACTCTAAAACTTGGGGGAAAATTAACTTTTTATCATTTTTCTAAAAAATGCCTATTCAGCGTTTTTCTCCATATTCAAGCACAGTTATCTCTGAAAAATGTGTGGTTACCGCCAGTTTTCTTTTTGGATTTCAATAGCCCCTGATATGATCTACTTGTCTCACATAGTCATTATCTGGGAAAAAATACTTCCCATTAATGGGCACCGTCCCTAAGAACCATGACAAAGTTCACAATGACGACGTCTGTTGACTGGGAAAAGACTGGAACGAGAAAGTCAGTTTTGGCAGGAAAAAGGATATTTAAGATGCAGTCAGTTGGTAGGTCAATGACGACGACACTGAATGTAAACACAAATGTAAAACTGTGATGTTCGCTCGCAACAATTAAAGTTTTTCGCAATGGCGTCTTTTAAAACAATGCAAGATCTTATTTTTTAAGCCGTATATCTAATTTCATTGATGACGAAAATTTTTTTGTGTTGTCTGACCTTTTCGAGTGGAAAAACACCTGCTTTCCGTACAAAGATTATTCAACTTACAACCTGAATGAGATGACCGAGTCCGAGTGCCTGTCATAGTTTAGATTTGGAAAAAGAGACATTCTGATATGATAGCTGTTTTCCATATAAAGTTTATTTCTTCTATGTTAAAGATATATGATTTGCCTTACCTAAATACGCACAAATAAATTTATCACTTATGAGTTCGCTCGCTCGGCCTCCACAGCTGTTGTCATTCTTCAAAGTAAAAACAATTCAGTAGCAAATTTGCTTGTTAGGAGAAAAAGGGAATGATACCTGGATTTGCGAGGATAAAAAAATGCAAAGGACTTCAACAATCGCTTAAAACTTAAGAATTTGTTCATGCTTAGCGTGCGTATATCGAGTTATGGATGCACGCGGGAAGTTTGGAGAGCACGAAAGATGCGTAAGAGTTGCACGAGGCGATAGCCGAGTGCAACTCTAGCTTCTTGAGTGCTCTCCAAACTTCCCAAGTGCATCCATAACTCGATATACGCACAGCTAAAAGCATGAGCAAATTCTTTTATAACATAGCTGACAAAAATGCTTGCTTTTTGATTAACTACAAAATTCTCGTAACGCGCTACACAATAACAAACGCTTCTATTGGCTGATTACGAACACACCACAATCATCTAGTTTGAATGAGAATATTCTTTCCGTAGCTTTTCTGTAAAACTGAGAAAGAAAATCTGCTTCTTTATTCGTTAACGATCAATGGAAACTAAGCAGAAACAAAGGTAAAAGAGTCTTAAAGTTCACCTAAAGTTAAAATACTAACATGTTCGTAAGAAGTCGCGGAGTATGGTTTGGATTTGCTGAAAAGATGTTTACGTTTTGCTCGGCGAAATCCAGAAAACATGTTTTTAGCGAAGACGACTGTCATCCTTCTTTAAACTCATATTCATTTACAACATTAGCTGGTCATTACGGCTTCTTGAGAAGACCTGGCAGCAGTTGTTTTTGTGAGTAATAAATTTATGTCTTCTTGTGTAATTTGTGTTGTTATTGCGAGAGAAATCTTCCTGCTTCAGTCGGATTGTCCGGAGATAACAAAAGTGCATAACAAGTTTAAAAACAACAATAAAAACGGAAATTTAACCTCTTAATGTTGTTGATGACCAGTTGGTGTCTGTTCTGTTCCCAGTGAATGTCTTTCGGCCAAAATTTGCTGCAGCTGGTCTTCCGACAAATTTGCGAAACGCGCAACATGCGAGTTTTTTCAATTCGGCTCTATTTTTGCTGCTTGTTGGGTCAGGACCTAAAAGGTCAATGCCGATAGAAAAATTGGGCAGTTCTTCGCTGGTTTCTTCCATATTTTAAAGAGAAGGAAAACTGCACTGCAGCTTAAAAGACGACAACTTTGCAGCCAGGTAAAACAAAATGCTTACGTCATCTTATTTACGCACGGGCGTGCGTAAATAAAGATTTTGTTCATAGCGGCTCAATAGGACTTATATAGGGCAAGCACGCGCGCTATGTTATAAAGTGGATTTATACCTGCGAAAGCTTGTGTATTGCAGGGCGAGGTGATTCTACTTTGTTTGGCGTCGTTGACGACACCACGGCGACAAAATTTACTGGTCATACCTGTGCAGTACACTGTAACTCACTTCTGGTCGTCATTGTGGTTCTTAAGTTCCCTAATAACGGCTGGTCAACGGACAATGATTAAGAAGTTGACCAGTCAACCTTTCATCTTGCCGGTCACGTTGATTGGTCACATTCGATCGTATTGAAAATGAAATAAATTAAAATTTCCATGCTGGTCAGTTGTTTCAGTCGTTACCAGTATGTGGTGAGTCGCAGGTGAAATCCAGCCAGAACCATTGTTTACATTGAAACAGACATCGGGGTTAACGCACTTCCAGTCACAAAATTTAAAATATTTTCAATTTATTAGTTAATTTTCTCGATGAATACAAATTTTTTCCCTTGTAATGGCAGTTATGGATTTCTGGTGGAGTTTTAGGATCAGGATCTCGCACCTTGTTACATACACTGGAATTACTATAGATTGGAAGTGCCAGACGAGTTTGATGTGTACACTAATTTGTTTGTATTGTTGACAGTGAGTGCTTTAAAATGCTAGAAGCTCTAAGCAACGACTTTTTTGGAAATATATAACACCAGTTTTGGTTCATGGGCGCCTGTTTTAATAGCCTGTGTTTGATGCGTACGCTAATTTGTTTTATTGTTGACAGTGAGTGCTTCAAAGTGCTATAAGCTCTAACAACGACTTTGTTGGAAATATATCAGGGCTCGACGTTGCGACCTGTGGGGTTGCCAATGCGACCAGCTTTTACTCAGTGGCGACTAAATTCTCACGCCTGGTCGCCAACCTAGCCCCTAAGATAGGTCACTTTCGTCTTTGAAAAAATGTACACTAATGATAATCTGTTATCCTTTACAAAACTAACAGATAGCTAACGGTTTTTCTAACGCTCTAATGTTTTGCTACCCTGGTTCCCCGGGTATGTTCTCTAAATACCTATTATGAAATAAACTGTGCTTACGGTTTGATAAGTCATTTTTTCTCCTCGGCGCTTCGCGCCCCTTAAACTCAGCACCATCAGTATCTGTAAGAAAAAAATATCCTCTGAAACCCAGGGTAACGTTTTGCCCAAACGCTCTAATGGTTTGTTCAAACCCTCTAACAATTTGTCAAGACGCTTTAATGATTTCTTCTAACACTCTTAGCTCTAGCAGATTGTTCTTACAATCTAACAGTTGGTCCGTCTAACGTTTGACTTTTATTTGAATGAGGATTGTGACAA